TCCTCCTCCTCCTCCTCCTCCTCCTCCTCCTCCTCCTCCTCCTCCTCCTCCTCCTCCTCCTCCTCCTCCTCCCCCTCCTCCTCCTCCTCCTCCTCCTCCTCGTTGTTGGTGTTGCACGCATCTTTCTATATGTTTGGACTAGCCAGTGTTGCTAATGTTAATAATGATAACCTTTTGTTCGCTGCAAACTCCTACCTTCTGTGTCACATCTTTTGGGGTGGTCATGTAAATTCCAAGGTCTAATTGGAATATGGCAGATAAACTGCAAAAGACCAGGTTTTAGTGTAGCCCAGTGCATAGTTTTAGTGGCTTGCCCATATCTGGATTGCAGAAGAACGTGGGAAGTGCGAGCTGTGATGGTCGAGTGTCACTTGACAAAGCCTACTAGTCAGGAGAGCTCGGTGGTTCCAGTGCTTGATTCGAAGTTGGCTTCAGTTTTTGAACGCCTTGTCATTCACTCCAATTCAAAACTCTTCTTCGGTTGCTTTTGCATTAGGTTATGCAGAGGGCTTGCAATCTTAGCAGAATCTTTGACAAAACGCCTGTCGTAGCGGTCCTAATCTTTCGATACAGAGTCTAGACAGCCTTATGATTTACTTTTGGCCTGGTCCGGTCAGAGTCAAAAAAAAATTGCATGTACATCCTTCTAGTTTGCCTGAGGCTTGCAAAGATGATTTGAGAAGGGAGGTCTTCCCAAATTTTGGCACATAACGCGAAGAGCCTTGATACAATGGTGTTGGGTTTGGTCGCTTTTCGTGGTTGCTGTAGCGCGGGACCGTGAGCAACTTCTGACGCGAACTTGAAAGAGTTGGTATCCGTGATGCGGAGTCTTTCGATCATGACGGGTGGGGGAAATCTGTGTCTGAACTGAACAAAAATGCATCCCTCGACCCTGGTTGGAGATGAGGCGCAGAAGGCTTGTTTCGCTAATAGTTGTAAGCTTTTCGTGTACTCCTCATCGTCTTCCCCCACTTTTGGTAGTGATGGAAGAACGCTCTGGCAAGCACATGTTCTTCCTGGTGGATGACGGATTAGGGTAAGGTAGCACCCCATTCTTCCAGCTTGGTGTTCGGGGTTATCTCCACATCTATGGCGATCAAAAATAGGTTCTACGGTAGGGCGCGAAGTATAGAAGTGCTCTCCTATGTGGGGGTTAAACCTGAGGGTAAATCTATCGTTCTTAGTCACTTTTCAAAGTCCATGTCGTTCTTGAAAGGTAAGATACGCGGGGCTGCCATCAGTGTAACAGACTTGATGTTTCTCTTCCACCTCATCCTTCATACTTATAGCTGAAGTAGACGAGTTGGAGAAGGACATGTTTTATTGGATGGCCATGAAATAATGGGAATAAGTGTCACGCGCATGTCTGTTCAGCGTACTTTGTCTTCTCGGAGGCTGAGGTTGTCAGATCCGTCAAGAGGTTCGCATTTTCCTACCGCCTCTAGGCTAAAATACACGCTCTAACCAACCTGTGTTACAATGTAGCCCACGATTCGAAATTAGAAACTGTGAATAATTTACTCGGTTATCTTAATCCAAGCGCTTACAAACACAAACATTTGTTATTGGTGCAGAGCCACTGGCTGCGTGGATCATTTATTTGGTTAATAAATATCTTTAAATGTCAAAAAAGGCTTGAAAATTATTACTGGGGGGGGGGGGGGTGCCTTTTTGTACCGGTGAAAGATCATTTGTGATAATCTCCACAGTGGAGATGGAAGGGTTCTACACTAACACCACCGGCGGTAAATACGACAAAGAAGGTGCTCAAGTGCCATTTCAGATTTCTGTTGTGTTAGCCAATGCTGCATTCATGCATTCATTCATGCAGCGGTCACCGCCACGTCAACACAATCACATGACGTGACATGCATTAAACGACATCGCCGCCACCAGTGTATTCTACAAGACACAAACTGTGCGTGACAGTTTTTCAAAACGGCTGCTTAGGTTTAATGATTTTATTCTGCATGAAAACACGCGCCAAGCATTCCTGAGTCGACTGAACATTAAACCACCATTAGGCAGAGCACTGAGACTAGAAAATGCAAAACTGCAGTCACCACTGGAGTAGAGGAGCTATGAGTTCTAGGATGTGTGCCACTCTAGAGGTGCCTGGCAGAGCTGTACACATGTCTTCATGAGATTGGCTGTGTCTGCGTCACTCCATCCTACAAGTGAGGCAGCAATTACTGCCACCAACTTGGGATTGGCTCGTTGCTGGTGTGTGGCGTCACCCTGACGCCACTTTTGCGTGTAGCCCACAGACCGTGGTGTCGTTGTGAGGAGTGAAGCAGCGTCCTTTGGAAGAGCCATCTCTACGTGGGAAATTTTGTTTGAATTGCACTTCACAGCAAGGGAGATAAATTCTCTCGCCCTTAAATGAAAAACAGGGAAACGTACAACATATCGAAACACTTTGTTATAGATTAAGAATAATTAATAATCCGCACTTTCCTTCAAAAGCGAATGCAGGCGTAAAAATGGTCGCCCTGAGCATTCCATTTTACACGAGTCAATGTGCCCACGCGCAGCCCTTCGCTGCTTGCAAGCAGTAGACTTTTTCCCCGGAGCGGAAATTTGCGTAGTTTTTTCCGTTCAAAAAGGAGTGGTGAACTAATTCCGAAACTTTATTAAATCTGCAAATTTATTTATCTCTTCTATATTCTTCCACAATGAATACTAAACACTCCCCTTGTTCATTGGTGGCACTATTCGCCTACACATCCGTCACCAATATACTGTTGCAGTTTAGTTATCATCTTCCAGAGAAAAAGATTGGATTTAAAAGATTTGGAAAATGAAGATTTCCACTGCGATTTAATAGGCGGGTGGGTCATTTATGTGTCTGATTGACAAATAAATCCATTCGTTCGTCTTTTTAGTTACCGAGGCAATTGTTAACGACGTAGGGGATTCTGATCCAGGAGAACAGTAGCCAGCCCTGATTTAGTCTATGCACTGCCACACGTAAATTCCTGGAAAGATATCTACTGTGGGTTGCTGAATCCGCGGAGACTCATGTTTGAAGGTTTGAATCGGCATCGACCTTTGATAAGTTTTAAGTACGTGAACAATGGCCAGTGATGGGGTGAGACTGAGTCTCGAAGAGCCCAAAGAGATATTGAGGAATTGCTTAGTAATTCTCTTACCAAGGTTATTCATGTTATAGCCTAATGACATGATGTCCCCTTCTCATAATTTTGCTTTTGGGCAATTCTAGTTATTAAAAGGCAACTAGCACACAGTATGCTGACGCTGTAAGCATCAGCTAGCCTTCACCACGTTCTCCCAACTCAATCATTCCACTTCAGAATTGGCCTTCCGGGTTATGCAATGTTAGTGAATCCTAAACAAAATAGCACTGCCGAAGTAGGTACCGTTCTTCGCATGATAAAATACAATCGCGTTTGATAGAACTTTGTAGGAATTGGTAGAAATAAGGGTTGTGCTGAGATCTATGCTTAAAAAGGAAATGGGCCACAAATTGGGGTAAAATTTGGTTAAAATTTTTACAAAATGTAGGGCCTCAACTCTCAGGGTTGTGGTGGTAATGCTTTAATTACTTGTTTAACTCTCGGTCTTGATGAAGGGCCAATTTGGGGCCCTAACATTGTACCTTCGACGAGTGAGCTGGGCTTTGAACCATGTCAGCAGGCTCAAGCCATTTTGAATGTCGATAATTCAAATTCTGTTAAGGTAGTAAATCTTCTTTCATCTTCAGAGAAGTGTCGGGGAGCTGCACATATTTTAAAGATGCAAGAGGTCAGATTGGACGAACCTTGTCAACAAAAGCGAAGTTTTAAGCCTTAAAGGAAAACCGAACCCGAGTCCTTTTAAACTGCAATTATTAGTAAGAACAAGACTTCTTTCTCCGAATATCCGATCAAAGTATATGAAAATGAAGGCTGAAGGGCAAAGCAGTGGAAATCTCACACAAGCAACGGACCTCCAGTTCATGAAAAAAAGCAGTTCGATACCAAACGCATGTACACAGAAAGGGTGCTTATAAAAGGCTGATTTATGGTTATTGTAAAACCTAAAATTTCCGAATTTTAACTATCACCATCAAAATAAGCCTGAAGAAAATCAGCTTAACAACAAAGTAAGCCTAAAAACCAAAGTCTGTTGCTTTTTTCTAAGCGGCAAGTAATGTTTTGCAGTGTATTACGCTGCATTTAGCAAAAAATGCGATTTGGGAAAAACACTTCTTCAAATAGACCTAGTGTTTCTATCAGCGTGTGACCTTAGGGGACCTTTAAAATGGCACATTTCGTTGCTTTTTCATTTTCATCTGGATGCGTGAGTTGCCTTTGTAGCCCCGTAAATTGTAAAGTTGTTTTAAAATTCTTAGGGGGATCTTAACAAATATTGTAAAATAAACTCTGTTTGCGATCCTGGTGAATCCCGTGTTAGTTTTGCAGGCGGTACTTGTTAATTGGCTGTGCTTGCCACTCGTTTCGACTTATATTGTCTACTCCAGTATATATTCATCTGAGTAATCTAATTGGGCTAAAGCAAGACAATTTGTTAGGTGCTTGAATGTCCTTGTTCCTGCATGTGCTCCAATATGCACTGGCACGTGAGGGCATATCACCTGTTAGGAATGGAAATGAAAATAGCGAGACCGCATTAGCTGTACACCGGAAGTAAATGAAGTATGTTCGCATGTGAGTGCTTGATATGCATCTTGTGACAAAACTGTTTCCATGTTACGCGCTATAGCTGCTAAGCGAAAAACGACTTCGACCACTTCAAAGGCAGCCCTGTCGAAGAGGCCGAGGACTTCTGACAAAGGTAAGGAATTTCCTGCATGCACCAAATGATAGGTAATGATGACGCATCTACGGACTGTGCGCAAGTATCGGATAGCACAAACGACAAACCCTCAGGTAACGACATGAAACATTCCTTACACGTGTTTAGCAACGAAGATAGTAATAAAGGGTAAGGTGCCCGTCGATCCGCAGTGCACAATGAAGGCAGAAACTGCACACGTCCTGCAGGAGAATGATGTGGTGTACAATTTCATGCTAAATCAGGTTTGTTTTGCTTTATTCGACACTGCTACGATGCTTGTATGTTAAATGAGTTGGGAATATTTTGAGTGAGGAATGCAATGGGAGAGCCCATAACATGGTCTGCATACATCACTGTGTGTTTTGTCATCGGTTGTGCGACCCAGCGTCGTTCTTGCTCACCACCACTTATCACTTGATGACATGCAAACTAGCGTGCCTTTGATTGCAGACGAATGTGCAGCACAATAATAACAAGTACTACCTGGGCCAAGTTTTGGAGGATGACATAGGCGGTGCATGTGCTGTGTGGTTTCGATGGGGTCGAGTGGGCAAGACGGCGCAGACGTCTCTGCAGCCCTATGCCTCAAAGGCGAATGCAATCTCGGTGTTTGAGAAGAAGTTCCGTTGCAAAACTGGCAATTGCTGGAAGGATCGTGCCAATTTCACCAAAATGAGTGGTCTCTATGATCTAATTGAGCAGGACTTCGGGGTGAGTTTGTAAAAGGTTTTGTGTCACCCTCATGATAAGAAATTGGTATTAATGTCCCCATGAATGAGCAGTGTGTATTGTGGAGCATTTGAAGCCTTCATATCAGGTTATTTTTGCCATTGCATGTGAGGGCATGAGGAGGGGAGTTGTGATTGGGATTGGTGGTTGGAGGAGTAATACTTGCTTTTGACGTTTTGTTGAAGGAAGTTGAAGCAGAGGAGAAAGCTGATGATAACGAGGAAAAGAAGGTGGTGTCATCTCATCTACCTGCTGAAGTCCTGGTAAGCGTCATGTCTTTTCAAGTAGACAAATAACATCATTTAAAATGTGTCCTACTCATGCTATTGGAATTGCGTTTAAAATGTTGTGTGTCGTAGGCATAAGGTAGTCATGTACATACGGGCACAATTTTGTGGGAGCCAAATGTGACTGCCGTGACTCTTGGCTAGTATACATCACCCCTACTTTACACCTCTGATGGGAAGCTGTCTTTTGCAATTGCACTATGCTAGTTGGCTAGTTCCTTGTTTTTCGATTCTCTGTCTGAAGGAGCTGATCCTGCTCATTAGTGATGTGAGTGTGATGGAGCACCAGATGCGTGAGATGAACTATGATGCGAGTCGGGCGCCATTGGGGAAACTGACGCCGGGACAAATAAAGGCGGGTTATGAGGCACTGAAGACGGTCTCCGATTGCATTGAGGAGTTGGAGAAGTGTACCGCGTCGTCTGGTACCAATGCGAAGGCGAAACGCGGCGCCAAACGTGCTGCCTGCAAAGGTGGGAGTGAGCGGGAGCTGCGCGACCGTCTGCTGCAGGCCTGCAACACCTTCTACACGCGTATTCCGCATAACTTCGGGTAAGAGTCAGGCATGCATACGCCGTCCTGGGCTGTCAAGTGATTAGAATTGGTGGTGGTAACTGGACATTTGGTATCTTTGAACAAAAGCCACCTCATTGGAGAATGTCATATGTGATGGTTAATGTTGGGCGACTGACACACCCACAGGAATCTGTCGGAAATAGCGAAAGAATTGTCGTATGCACGGCATTTGTTATGAACGCCGAGGGCAATCGCGAGTGTTTTGGTTGGGATAGTGCATTTGAAATGAACTTCATTGGAGGCTTGCGCCTCCGAGAGGCATTTCGAGCAGATTCTTTTGTTGGGTGATCGATGTTGAGCAGCATTTCTACGAGGTGATGTTGTTGGTGAGGCCGAATTATTGGGAACGCCTAAAGTGAGTTGTTGTTCCCTTTTTTTGCACAGTATGCGAGTTCCTCCACTGATCTCGACACCAGAGGCGCTGAAAACTGAGTTGGACCTTCTGAAGGCGCTGGAAGACATCGAGGCGGCTTTCAGCATTATCAAGCAGGAAGGCAAGACAGTAGATATGCACCCTGCGGATAGGAACTACAGTAATCTGAAGTGCAATATCAAACCGATTCCTAGTGGAGACAGGATGGAAAAGGTAGGCCGCTCTTGCACTTCCTAGAAGCTGATGGCTTTTGTGTGGTTGCATTTAAAGCCTTACTGTGTGTGTAAGTGGGAAATTCATATTAATCAGCAATGCCATCTTTGTAACTGTGGAATCCTTATATTGAATATCCATATTAGGATAACGTAGTTGAGTGTCTACCTTGTAGTAATATATCGATGTAGCCACTTTTACTCAGGCAATGGGGTCTGTAATACGCTGGTTTATTTTCATTTCAGGTTATCAAAGACTATGTAGATATGACCCATGCTCCAACACACGATGTTTACAAGTTAGAAGTCCTGCAGACCTTTGAGCTGGAGAAGAGTGGAGAGGCGGAGGCCTTCTGCGACTACGGCACGAGGTATGTGCATATGCCCTCGCCTTTGCGGATTTTCTTTGCAAACCGTTTGCTTGGTTAGTCTACCGAGAAACCGAGCATATAGTTGACACAGAAACTGATCTACTCGTATTGGAACTTTGGCAAACGAAGGATTGTGTTGTTGTAGGCGCCTCCTGTGGCACGGAAGCCGCATAACCAATTGGATGGGAATCTTAGGCCGTGGTCTAAAGATAGCACCCCGTGAGGCGCCCTGCACAGGCTACATGTTTGGCAAGGGCGTCTACTTCGCCGACTGCGCCTCCAAGTCCGCCAATTACGCCTACCCTACTTCCAATGATTGCGTTGGCATTATGGCTCTCTGCGAGGTAGGTCTCGGCTCTCCTCGCTTCTTAAATATTGTAAAATAAACTCTGTTTGCGATCCTGGTGAATCCCGTGTTAGTTTTGCAGGCGGTACTTGTTAATTGGCTGTGCTTGCCACTCGTTTCGACTTATATTGTCTACTCCAGTATATATTCATCTGAGTAATCTAATTGGGCTAAAGCAAGACAATTTGTTAGGTGCTTGAATGTCCTTGTTCCTGCATGTGCTCCAATATGCACTGGCACGTGAGGGCATATCACCTGTTAGGAATGGAAATGAAAATAGCGAGACCGCATTAGCTGTACACCGGAAGTAAATGAAGTATGTTCGCATGTGAGTGCTTGATATGCATCTTGTGACAAAACTGTTTCCATGTTACGCGCTATAGCTGCTAAGCGAAAAACGACTTCGACCACTTCAAAGGCAGCCCTGTCGAAGAGGCCGAGGACTTCTGACAAAGGTAAGGAATTTCCTGCATGCACCAAATGATAGGTAATGATGACGCATCTACGGACTGTGCGCAAGTATCGGATAGCACAAACGACAAACCCTCAGGTAACGACATGAAACATTCCTTACACGTGTTTAGCAACGAAGATAGTAATAAAGGGTAAGGTGCCCGTCGATCCGCAGTGCACAATGAAGGCAGAAACTGCACACGTCCTGCAGGAGAATGATGTGGTGTACAATTTCATGCTAAATCAGGTTTGTTTTGCTTTATTCGACACTGCTACGATGCTTGTATGTTAAATGAGTTGGGAATATTTTGAGTGAGGAATGCAATGGGAGAGCCCATAACATGGTCTGCATACATCACTGTGTGTTTTGTCATCGGTTGTGCGACCCAGCGTCGTTCTTGCTCACCACCACTTATCACTTGATGACATGCAAACTAGCGTGCCTTTGATTGCAGACGAATGTGCAGCACAATAATAACAAGTACTACCTGGGCCAAGTTTTGGAGGATGACATAGGCGGTGCATGTGCTGTGTGGTTTCGATGGGGTCGAGTGGGCAAGACGGCGCAGACGTCTCTGCAGCCCTATGCCTCAAAGGCGAATGCAATCTCGGTGTTTGAGAAGAAGTTCCGTTGCAAAACTGGCAATTGCTGGAAGGATCGTGCCAATTTCACCAAAATGAGTGGTCTCTATGATCTAATTGAGCAGGACTTCGGGGTGAGTTTGTAAAAGGTTTTGTGTCACCCTCATGATAAGAAATTGGTATTAATGTCCCCATGAATGAGCAGTGTGTATTGTGGAGCATTTGAAGCCTTCATATCAGGTTATTTTTGCCATTGCATGTGAGGGCATGAGGAGGGGAGTTGTGATTGGGATTGGTGGTTGGAGGAGTAATACTTGCTTTTGACGTTTTGTTGAAGGAAGTTGAAGCAGAGGAGAAAGCTGATGATAACGAGGAAAAGAAGGTGGTGTCATCTCATCTACCTGCTGAAGTCCTGGTAAGCGTCATGTCTTTTCAAGTAGACAAATAACATCATTTAAAATGTGTCCTACTCATGCTATTGGAATTGCGTTTAAAATGTTGTGTGTCGTAGGCATAAGGTAGTCATGTACATACGGGCACAATTTTGTGGGAGCCAAATGTGACTGCCGTGACTCTTGGCTAGTATACATCACCCCTACTTTACACCTCTGATGGGAAGCTGTCTTTTGCAATTGCACTATGCTAGTTGGCTAGTTCCTTGTTTTTCGATTCTCTGTCTGAAGGAGCTGATCCTGCTCATTAGTGATGTGAGTGTGATGGAGCACCAGATGCGTGAGATGAACTATGATGCGAGTCGGGCGCCATTGGGGAAACTGACGCCGGGACAAATAAAGGCGGGTTATGAGGCACTGAAGACGGTCTCCGATTGCATTGAGGAGTTGGAGAAGTGTACCGCGTCGTCTGGTACCAATGCGAAGGCGAAACGCGGCGCCAAACGTGCTGCCTGCAAAGGTGGGAGTGAGCGGGAGCTGCGCGACCGTCTGCTGCAGGCCTGCAACACCTTCTACACGCGTATTCCGCATAACTTCGGGTAAGAGTCAGGCATGCATACGCCGTCCTGGGCTGTCAAGTGATTAGAATTGGTGGTGGTAACTGGACATTTGGTATCTTTGAACAAAAGCCACCTCATTGGAGAATGTCATATGTGATGGTTAATGTTGGGCGACTGACACACCCACAGGAATCTGTCGGAAATAGCGAAAGAATTGTCGTATGCACGGCATTTGTTATGAACGCCGAGGGCAATCGCGAGTGTTTTGGTTGGGATAGTGCATTTGAAATGAACTTCATTGGAGGCTTGCGCCTCCGAGAGGCATTTCGAGCAGATTCTTTTGTTGGGTGATCGATGTTGAGCAGCATTTCTACGAGGTGATGTTGTTGGTGAGGCCGAATTATTGGGAACGCCTAAAGTGAGTTGTTGTTCCCTTTTTTTGCACAGTATGCGAGTTCCTCCACTGATCTCGACACCAGAGGCGCTGAAAACTGAGTTGGACCTTCTGAAGGCGCTGGAAGACATCGAGGCGGCTTTCAGCATTATCAAGCAGGAAGGCAAGACAGTAGATATGCACCCTGCGGATAGGAACTACAGTAATCTGAAGTGCAATATCAAACCGATTCCTAGTGGAGACAGGATGGAAAAGGTAGGCCGCTCTTGCACTTCCTAGAAGCTGATGGCTTTTGTGTGGTTGCATTTAAAGCCTTACTGTGTGTGTAAGTGGGAAATTCATATTAATCAGCAATGCCATCTTTGTAACTGTGGAATCCTTATATTGAATATCCATATTAGGATAACGTAGTTGAGTGTCTACCTTGTAGTAATATATCGATGTAGCCACTTTTACTCAGGCAATGGGGTCTGTAATACGCTGGTTTATTTTCATTTCAGGTTATCAAAGACTATGTAGATATGACCCATGCTCCAACACACGATGTTTACAAGTTAGAAGTCCTGCAGACCTTTGAGCTGGAGAAGAGTGGAGAGGCGGAGGCCTTCTGCGACTACGGCACGAGGTATGTGCATATGCCCTCGCCTTTGCGGATTTTCTTTGCAAACCGTTTGCTTGGTTAGTCTACCGAGAAACCGAGCATATAGTTGACACAGAAACTGATCTACTCGTATTGGAACTTTGGCAAACGAAGGATTGTGTTGTTGTAGGCGCCTCCTGTGGCACGGAAGCCGCATAACCAATTGGATGGGAATCTTAGGCCGTGGTCTAAAGATAGCACCCCGTGAGGCGCCCTGCACAGGCTACATGTTTGGCAAGGGCGTCTACTTCGCCGACTGCGCCTCCAAGTCCGCCAATTACGCCTACCCTACTTCCAATGATTGCGTTGGCATTATGGCTCTCTGCGAGGTAGGTCTCGGCTCTCCTCGCTTCTT